CTTCTTCTTCTTCTTCTTCTTCTTCTTCTTCTTCTTCTTCTTCTTCTCCTTCTCCTTCTCCTTCTCCTTCTCCTTCTCCTTCTCCTTCTCCTTCTCCTTCTCCTCCTCCTCCTCCTCTTCCTCCTCCTCTGTTTTGGCCAAACTTACAAAAATAAACTGAAGTCTGTGATTCACTTGCTTTGTGACTTTAGCAAGTCATATTCCTCCAGCAGGGCCTCAATTTCCTCATTTATAAAATGAAGTGGTTAGACTAGGTAATTTCTAAGGTCCCTTCCAGCTCAAACATTCCATGGTTGTGTGATTATTAAATTTCCTTTTACTCTGACATTCTCTGAAAGAATGATCTTGGGATTCCTTCCAGTGCTAGCATATGATTCTCTCTCCCTCTCCCTTTCCCTTTCTGTCTCTCTCTCCCTCTCCCCTTTCCTCCCCCTCCTCCTCTGTCCCCCTCTCCCCCTCTATATATGTATGTATATACACATATTTTTTCCTTCTTTTTAGCATCGAGACAATTTTTAGCATCTAGACAATACACGGAATATAACTGGATAGGACATTTATAGATAATAAGTAAATTAGGTAACTGTTTACTTCTTTATCAATTCAATTTGATAAGCATTATTAAGTGCTTATTGTGTTCCAGGCACTGTGCAAGGTACTGGAAATACAAAAACAAAAAACAGTTAAACCATCAGTACATTAATGAGGAGACAAATATGGAAAAGTCATGGGAGCAGCACAGGCATAGCAGAAAAGGAACTGAACTTGGAGTCAAAGATCAAGGTTTGAATATCTTGGCTCTGGCATCTACTTGCTCTTTGTGACAGAATGTAAGCTCCTTGAAGGCAGGGACTTCTGTTTTTGTTTTTATATCCTCGATGCTTAGCATTATGCCTGGTATGAGTAGACACCTGTCAAGAGTAGATTGGTATGCTTGTTGAATGGATGAATGAATAGATTAACAAATGAAGTCATTTCTCTGAGACTAAGTTTTTTCATCTATGAAATGGGTATGTTAATATTTATATTACTTTACAGGGTTATTGTGGGGAAGTCACTCTGTAAACCTTAGAAGCACTATAGAAATGTGAGTAATTATTGTGGGAATATCTTTTGGTGGAGAGACTACTGGCCTAAGTGTCAGGAAGACCCAGACTCAAATCCTGCCTCTAGTATATACTGCCTGTGTGACCCTGGGCAAGTCACTTAACTTCCCAGAGTTCTTATAGAGAGTTGCATGGACCTCTTCTTTTAGAGAAGGTGCCATACTGGATTGGTAGAGCTTCATCATCTGGGAGTTCCCTATACCAGTGAAATCACAGGTGCAGTCCCTATCTTATCTTAATTTAGCTAGAATGTTTTTAGCAGTTATCATCTCTCTTCTGAGTAGTCCAGGAAGGCTTCTTAGAGGAAGTGGCATTATTGGAGCGTTTGAGGGAAATGGACACAACTTTTTCTTTTACATATGGAAGGAATGGTTGGCCGCTAGGGCTTTGGGGTAAAAATGAAGACCAGTTTCTCTCTGTGTCTATAGGAATGTTCTCCATATGCTGCACACCTGTTTGATGCAGAGGACCCATCCACACCCGTCCGGACAGTGCCTGGGCTCTGTAAGGACTACTGTATAGATGTATGGCACAAATGCAGGACCATATTCCGTCATCTCTCCCCGGACCCAGAGTTATGGGCCCTGGAGACTAATCGGGCCAAGTTTTGCCGCTACTTATCACTTGATGATGCCGACTACTGTTTCCCTCGGCTATTGGTCAACGAGAATCTGAATGTGAACCTGGGTCAGGTGAGGGCTGACACAGAAGGCTGCCTGGAGCTCTGCCTGGTGGAGGTGGCCAACAGGCTTCGGAACCCCGTGGCCATGGTGCATGCCAATGATGGCACCCACCGATTCTTTGTGGCTGAGCAGGTGGGGCTGGTTTGGACTTACCTCCCTAACCGTTCAAGGTTGGAGAAGCCATTTCTGAATGTCAGCGAGGCTGTGCTCACCTCTCCCTGGGAAGGTGATGAGAGGGGCTTTCTTGGCATTGTCTTCCACCCCCAGTTTAAATATATGGGGAAAGTCTATGTGTACTACTCTGTGGAGGTCAGTTACGAGGAGAGGATCCGCATCAGTGAGTTCAAGATTTCCCCTGATGACATGAATACTGTGGACCACAGATCTGAAAGGTAGTGCCTTTTGGGGAGGACTTAACCCTGAATTCCTAGGGGAGGGAGGAAGACAAAGAAAAAAAAGTGTAATAGGACTTGGGTTCTCTGAAGTCTTCTGGGGATGACTGATTTGGTTGAGCTACATTTTCTAGATAGTGGAAATTCACCCTTTTGGGAAGCAAAATTAAAAAAAAAATTGAACATTCGAGATGGAAATCTTTTTCAAATGTATCACACACTCCTTTGATGTCTTAAAGTTGAGAATTATAGAATGTTAGGACTCTAAGTGACTTAGAGATCCTAAGATCATATGATGTGGTGCCAGAAGGGACCCGAGAGATCATTTTAGTCTACTCCATTCTTTTTATCCCCATCTCTTAGCAAAGTTCCTACAGCATAATAAGAGCTTCATAAATGCTTGCTGATTAATTGATTGATCTAACCTCTTATTTCACAGATGAGGAAACTGAGGCCTACAGAGTCGTCAATAGTAAACATTTATTAAGTGCCTACCATGTGCCAAGGTGCTGGCAATACAAAGAAAGGCGAAAACAAACAAAAACAAGCCCTGTTCTTAAGGAGCTCATAGTCTAATGGGGAGGTAACATGCAAACAACTATGTGTAAACAGTAACAGGATAAATTGGAGATCATTTCAGAGGGAAAGCACTAAGATGCAGGAAGCCTGGGAAAGTCTTCTTAAAGGAGTGGAACTCTAGGCAGCAGCAGAGATGAAGAGAGAGAGAGCTCCAGGAATGGGGGACAGCCAGCGAAAATGCCCAGGCTTGGGGGCAGGAGTGTGTCATGTGTGAGGAGGCCAGTGCCACTGGATCAGAGAGTGTGCAGAGGGGAGTGAGGTGTAAGAACACTGGAAAGGTAGGAAAGTGCCAGGTTGTGACTTGCCCATTGGGGTGTAAGGGGCAGCTAGGTGGTGCAGCAGATAGAACACTGGGCCTAGAGTCAGGAAGATTTCCCTGAGTTCAAATCCAGCCTTGGATACTTAGCTGTGTGACCCTGGGCAAGTCACTTAACCCTGTTTGCCTCAGTTTCCTCATCTGTAAAATGAGCTGGAGAAGGAAATGGCAAACCACTCCAGTATCTTTGCCAAGAAAACCCCAAATGGGATCACAAAGAGTTGTACACAACTGGAAATGACTGAACAACAAAATTGGTTTATAGGTTGCAGGGATGGTATTTAAATACTGGTCTATAAACCCAGTGTTCATTCTACTAAACCATAGTTCTCATTCAACCCTCCCACTGTACTGAAAACAGTGTCAGCTATCATTCTTTTCCCTCTTGTTAATGTGCTTGTCTTCAATAACTATTCTCCTTCATTCTAAGTGGAAGCTTCTAATCTGTTGGGAGCTGGAAAATAGGATCACCAAGTTTGTTAGAACAGTATATAAAGTAAGAGTAAAGTAGCATAAAATACCTTCTGTTAATTCTGTTCTTTGAAACTCTCAGTTTTTAACTTAATTGTGCTATTTTCTCTTCCCTCCCCCTTAATTTAATTATTCTTTTCTTTAAAATTTCTTTCTCTGCATTTGAGTAAATCCATTCTGATCATTTGCATCCGGGTCCTTACCTTTATACTCCATCATTGCTCAGATTGTCTTCCCACTACTGGAAAAGATTCCCCTCAGTTTCTACCCATCCTTTAAGGCTCAGCCAGTCAGTCAACAAGCATTTGTTAATCACTATGTGTCAGGCAATGTGCAAAGTACTGGGACTATAGTTACTAGGAGAAAGAGTTATCTGTCCTCAAGGAGGTTACATTCTAATGAGGGAAGATAACACATAAAAGGAAGCTGAAAATGGTACCTGGGGGAGGGGAGGTTGTAGAGAAAATCCAGAGTGCATCCTGGAGATGATTGAGACATGGTTGACCTGAGTACCCTCCTTAAATGGAAGCTCCGGAAGGAGCCATCTAATTGGAAGGGAGCTCACAGGGGCAGAGGGGTCTTCCAATATGTGAATTTCTGAGCTGGAGTGAGGCTTCAGGATAAAGAAGTTTTTTGGGCATGGTAAAGGAAACCCACAGTATGAAATGGCCCTGTTCAAAGCTGCCTCCTCCATGAGGCCATCTCTGATTCTACCTTTCTCCCCAACTAGCTACTTTCCTGAATCAGTATAGCCTGGTGGAAAGAACGCTGGACTTGAAAGGAAGAAACCTGGATTCAAATCCTGCTTTCAGTTATTTACTAGCCATGTGCCTGAGCACATCACTTAATCTCTCAAGCTTCTGTTTCCATATCTGTAAAATGGAGATAATACTCATACTACCTCTCTGACAAGGTATTATGATCCATGATAGAATGTAATATGAGCAAAGTAGAGATCAAATATTAAAGATGAGGAGGAAAAGATCACTTTTTGCATCAGGGAAGGAAGGGTTTGAGGAGGAGTTAGCTTTTGACTTGGGCATTGAAAGTTTTCATGGCATGGGAACCAGCCTGAGTCCATGAGAAGAAGGCAGGGTGAGATTGGGGAATAATTAATAGTCCAGTGGGTAGATCAATTTTTCAGGCACTTACTATGTGCCAGGCATTGTGCTGGGGGGACACATACTAGAAAACAAGATGGTTCCTACTCTCAATACTCTTACATTTTAATAAGGAGAAGACAAAATGTAAAAGGGAGCTGGAAAACCCAGGTAAGGTACAAAGTAGGATAAGAACGGGTTAATTGAACTCATGTCAGGGCAAAATGCTAGGTGTGGAGGTAGAGGAATCCAGAGAATGAGTTGAACTCAGATTGAAGTGTGCAATGAATGGCAGTCCTAGCCGAGAGAGTAGGCCCCAGTATGGAGTGAGGTGGTCAAGGCTGCTGGGGAGGAGGTGTCCAGGCAGTTGAGTTGAGCTAGGATTCAGTTGAACGCAATCAATGGGTTGAGTGAAATAAGTAAGGCTAGCGAAATCATTCCTCCCATCTGAGCCTCAGTACCTTTGTAAAAGGAATAAGTTGGAATAAGAAGATCTCAGTGGTTCCTTCCTGCTTTGACATGCTAAGTTCTGTTACCCAAAGGTCCCTTCTAGCTCTCATAGTCTGTATTCTTAGAATCATAGAACCTAGAATATCAGAGTTGGAAGAGACTTTAGAGTCATAGGGTCCTTTCAGCTGTTTCATTCTATGATCCCATGCAAATGTGACATTCTGATTTGAGGGGCTTTTTTTTTAAATTAGGATAATTTTGGAAATTGAAGAACCAGCATCTAACCACAATGGTGGACAACTGCTCTTTGGAGATGATGGGTATCTTTACATCTTCACTGGGGACGGAGGAATGGCAGGAGATCCATTTGGGAAGTTTGGAAACTCTCAAAACAAGTAAGAAGGGGTTGTTCCCATTGAACCAGGCCACCTTGCTAGGATAGTACAAGTGCACCCCTACTGGAGGGATGGGAAGGAGGGGATGGGCTTTTTCTTTCTCAAGGTCCTAGTCTGAAGCTTCTGCTCAGGACCAGGCTCTTTTGAACTTAGAACATTGCAACTGCTTTTATACCTCCCTTTTAATTGACTGTGTGAGTGATGTTAGTTAATATAAATCAAGGAGAAGTCATGTTGAGAGTATGTGTGCATTTCTCTCTGGGTACAAACATTCTTAACTTTAGAAAGCACCCAATGAGGATAGTTTGCCAAAAATCTAAGTTCATTGTAGAAGCCCCTTCACAAAGAGGAGTCAGAGGGCCATCCCTGGCTATCAAGGACCTCTGGTTGTGGGTCATCTGCTCTGGAGTTCCCTTCATTGGCATGGATAATTGAGAGTTGACTCTGTTTATACATTTCTCCTGGTTTAGCAAGCAGGTGGCCTATATAAACCTAGTAAATATAAAAACAAAATTAGCATCTAGTTAGTGTAAATAAGGACTCTGGATTTTCAAGGCAGATGGCTTGATTCCCTTGGTGAGATGATAGAAATCTTTCTGAGAAGGCAAAATAAAAATAGAGTACATTCCTAATTACAATAATTAAACCTATCCCAATTAGTGATTTTTGCTTTCATATAGTATAGTGCAAGGACCTTCTGAACCTGCTAATTTTTTGGATGGCTTTAAAAGCAAGTTTCAGAAAATAGAAATATGAGGACTCATAGGGGGCAGGGCAGAACTTTATTTAAAAAAAACCACATTAATTTTGTGCCTCTAATGTCCATATTATATGAGGAACATCTCACTATTTAAATGTACTGAAGGTTATGTTGAAGGCAGCATATGACAAACAGTCTCTGAAGTTATCTATAGCAAAGTCTGAATTCAGTTCCAGGTGAACTAAAAAGATCTCTTGTGCCCTCTTCATCCACCAAAAATTTTGGAAACTGATCATCTAATTTCCTCAACCTAACACTTGAGGCACGATCCACCTCAATTTAATCTCGGTCTCCTTATCAGCTGCATAATGATAACACTAATAATCATAGCCAAGGGATGAGCAGATTCCATGATTTACCAAGTGCTTTTGAATATATGTTATCTTATTCAATCCTAACAACTACCCTATGAAAAGCCAGTGCAGTTATGTTTTTCCTGTTTAACAGATGAGGAAACTAAGATCTAGAAAGGTAAAAACGACTTGGGCAGGGTCATCCAGCTAGTAAACGCCAGACTCCCAGTTGGGACTCAGGTATTCTGACCCTTGATTTGGTGCTCTGTGGCCTCTATTTCACTCTCTCCCACTGTGCCCCTTTATATGCCTTATGTTCCTGACAAACCATTGAGCTCATTATCACCTTCACATGCTTCACTGTTTCCTGCCTCTACTCTTTTTCTCAGCAACTGGGTGGTGCAGTGCATAGAGCACTGGGGTTGGAATCAGGAATACTCACCTTCATGAGTTCAAATCTGGCCTCAGACACTTGCTTGCTATATGACCCTGGGAAAGTCACTTAACTCTGTTTACCTCAGTTCTTCATCTGTAAAATGAGCCAGAGAAGGAAATGGCAAACAACTCCAATATCATTGCCAAGAAAACCCCAAATGGGTCAGGAAGATTTGAACATGACTTAACATCAACAACTGTTTTCTTCATCTATTCCTGTTAATTAAAATGCCTTCCCCTTCCTGCCTCCACTTTTGCCAATTGGAATCTTGTCTATTTGTCCAGGTCTGCTGAGAAATTGCTTCCTCTCTGCAGCCTTCCTTGATTTTGGTGGTCAGAAATTATTCCTTCTTCCTCTGAACTAATAAAGCGCTCACATCTCTCTTAACATACTTTCACATTTGGCTTTGCAATATAATTATTTATGCTTGTGTTCTCTCACCCTTTTAGACTAGAAGTTCTAGGGATTCGGAGACCACATCTCATTCATCTTGATGTTTTTTTCCCCTCACTTCAAGCATAGTAGGATTTCATGAGGCTAATATGGAGATATGTTTTGCATGTATAATGGGTATCATATTGCTTGCCTTCTCAGTGGGTTGGGGAGGGGCTGGAGGGAAAGAGAATTTGGAACTCAAAATTTTAAAAATGAATATTAAATTAAAAAAACTACACTAAGAAAAAATACAGTAAGATCTTGCATATAATCAGTGATCTAGAACAAATAAATGTTTGTTTAGTTGAATTGGATGAAAGATTTTGGGTGTTTGTGGTCATTGTATATGTATTTGTTTGAATCCAATTTTTATCTGCCACTGTCTCCATGTATGACATTGAGCAAGTCCATTTATCCAGCTGGACCTCAGTTTTCTGATCTATAAAATGGAGGTTTTAGACCAGATGAGTTGGCATGGATCTTAATTATTTAGAACTATGTACATGTTGCTTCTCCCCGATAGAATTATCTTTGTCTTCCCAGGTTCTAGCACAATGCCTGGCAGATAGTAGACAATAATAAATACTTGTTGAATGAATTACATGAACTATGGACTCGTAAGTGGTGGTCGGGAGACAGCTTTGTAAACCCAAAGCAGAATAAGGATGGGCCTTGGAGTTAGGAAGATCTGACCTCAAGTCCTGCCTGTGACCTGTACTGGCTGTTTGACTTTGGGCAAATCACTTAACATCTCAACATAAGAAGCAAGATCTCTGTGATGGTAAATTAAAGAGCAGGTTCTGGTCTACATTGGTAGAAGGACCTCCTCATTGGGAGTTCCCTATACTCATGAAATCATAGGTCTGTTACCCCTCTCCCACCTCAAGTAAAGTACTTCCCTATTTTGTTGAGTTCTGTTTTCTCTCCTCTGATTGTATCCAGGTCAGCCTTACTTGGCAAGGTATTGCGGATTGATGTGAATCACAATGACCGAGGGCCTCTGTATAGAATCCCTCCTGATAATCCTTTTGTTGGTGACCCATCGGCCCGACCAGAAGTCTATGCCTATGGTGTACGGAACATGTGGCGCTGCTCCTTTGACCGAGGCGACCCCATCACCAAAGAAGGGCAGGGGAGGCTCTTCTGTGGAGATGTTGGCCAGAACAAATTTGAAGAGGTTGACATCGTAGAGAAGGGGAAGAACTATGGATGGAGGGCCAGGGAAGGCTTTGAGTGCTATGACAAAAAACTATGTGCCAATTCTTCACTAGGTAATTTGTTTAAGCCAGCACCATCCCTTGCCCTCTTCCTCCCCCTAATCTCCTGTACCTTAGTAAGGACAGTTCATAGACCCATATAGAATCTCAAAGTGGGAAGACACCTCAGACATCATCTAGTAGTCTAACCTTCTAAATGAAGCATTGATCTCCTCTATAATAGGGATAGGGACTAAGCCTATGATTTTACTGGTATAGGGAAGTATACCAGTGGGTAAAGAAGCTCCTTCTACCAATCTGAGCCAGCACCATATTTGCAAGTCTTAGGAGCCTAGAGAACTCTGGGAGGTTGTGATTTACCCAGGGTCACAAAATCATTATGCGTCAAAGGCAGGACTTGAACCCAGATCATTTTGGCTTTGAGGTTGGCTTTTCAACCACTATGCACATTCCTCTCTCTTTTTTCTCTAGTTTCCCTAACAAAGTCCCTTCTGGCTTTAAAATTCTATAATCTCTTCTAGATGAAGAGAGAAGTTGTACCAAACTCATTTTCATTGTGGTTTTTGATATTTTGGGGTGAAAAACTATGTGCTTTGGCTGTGAGTTGGAATTCAATATAGCAGAATGGACCTCAGAAGGTATCAGATATTGCTAACTCAGGTTTTTCTTGAGTCATCTCTGAGATCTGGACCCCTTGACCTTTGAATGCAAAGATCCTATGACCTTTACATAGACTTCGAGGATAGGAAGGGGACTAAGAAAGAATTGACAAATATGCAAATGTCATTAATCTTGTGCTAAAGAATCATTATGGGCGGTGGGTGTCCTCTGGGTCCAAGGCCTTATGCATTGATTTTTTTAAGACAAGTTGCTACATAAGACATTGCCAGGGAAGGACATATACATCACAGGAGGACATAGACACAGACACACAGAGGAAGTTGCCTAGAAATTAGACTTTCCAAAGAAAGGACACTCTGCCCCAAAGAGCTCTCTTGTGACCAGTTTAGTATTGTAGCAGAAGGCTTGCTTTTTTCCCTTCCTTCCTTCCTTCCTTCCTTCCTTCCTTCCTTCCTTCCTTCCT